GAGATGGATTCGTTGGGTCGTAATTACTTCGTACTTGAAGTTGTTGTTTTCTTCACATTAAACTCGTGTCAGTTGCTAATCCCAGAATCTAGCAAAAGACTCGGCCCGTGGTCACAAAAATGCTTGAGCCATCAGAAGATCTAAAGAACACGCACACTCTTAGCACGAAAAGGGTACACAAGCCCGAGGATGTGCACCTACAATCCCTGCAGCACGTTTGCGTGCTCACAACTGAACTACACGCCCACACACTACAATTCGACTACAGCAGCAGCATCACCCCCCTTGTCCCGCACTTAACCAAAAAAAATGTTTGTCGACTACAGCGTACTGCTGTCTGAAGTGCTGTCTGTACAATAGTAACACCATGGTGCATGTTACACAACAAGCTCAGGGCATGCAGCTGCTGTCTGACGTGCTGTCAGAATGAGCCCGTGGACAAAACAATGAAGAAGAACAACCAACCAAAAGCCCGTTGTACCTGACGCACCAGTGCCGACCCAACTCCACCACTACGCACGCCACGCGGCGGGTGCGCCGGAGCAAGAAGGTATCGGTCCCTTGAGGGTGAGTCTAGCCATACTCGCTAGAAAGACCCCCCCCCTCGCTATGGGTCATGCCTAAGCAAAACCTTGCCGAGGCAGCGAGGGGAAGAAGGGCATAAGTAGATAATAAAAAAACAAAGAAACACCTGCTGGAAATGGGAATCCTGTAATCCTGCCTGGTCGCACACGCCCAACAAAGCAAACAGGGAGGACAAAGAGTCGCTTTGGGCTTTGGGTGGAAAAGTCGCGCCGCACAAATTGTGATCTGCGCCTGCGTCTGAGTGTGTGGCTGGGGGCAAACTCTGTGAGGCAAGCCGCGTCTCATCGGCTCCATGGCAAGCTTGGCTCCTACGAGAAATGACACGCCAGCGAATGGCGCAGCAATTCTTGTCAGCGCTGCTTCTACAGTAGTAGGCGGCAAGGAAAGCGTTGAGCGGGCCATGCGATGATATTGAGCGCATACGCTCCTGTTCATGCACCCATGTGTGAGAAGTCAAAGTGTTCGGTACGTACCCGCAGAATCCGCAGCGAACCGCACAAGGAGCAAGCCGACTACTCCGCGAACGGCTTATTCGTGAACCCCTGAACTGCGAGCACTCAATCAAATCATTATGGCAGGGATAGAGAGGCGAACGCGTCTAGCTCTCTGTACAACGGGAAATTCATGACCCTACCCACCTCTCTTGTCACCAGCGACGGATGAGAAGCGCCAAAAGCAGGCACCGGGGGGGTAACGGGATTCGACACGGAATATCTAGCTGTACACTTTAACCAGTGTTGTAGCTCCTTCCTCAGATTCCTTCCCGAAAACAGAACAGCAGTGATGTGATGAAGCAAAAAGCAGCAGCGGTACTCTGTGTGAAATTGTTGGCCTCCCCCCTTTGCCTTTGGTGCCACATTGCCACATTCTGGATGGGCGAGAAAAAACGAAAAAAACGCGGCGGAATACTCTCCGCCTCCCCCCTCCTCCCCTCCCCGGGGGAGGCCGAGGCCCGCAAGTGCAGTTA